TGCTATCGATTTGAGGGAAGTAGAGAGTGGTGAGATTGGGATTGTCGAGCAGTGTTCATTTTTGTGGATGGAATGAGAATTTCTCGTTGTTAAGAAATTTCGACGATAGTTTGGACACTAAACTTTAGTACGATGTGACGTGTAGCTTTTAATGAAAGGGTGAGAGCTTGTAAGAGTATCCTCACACGTCGATTTTGATGAAATTTGTGTCGACTGTAGTTCTCGAAAAGATATATGATTTTGTTTTTATTGACTATGGTATACGTTGCAGAGGTGAAGGAACTCTCAAATTTGAGGATGAAAAATATATTTTTGGAAATATTTTTTCGAAAACTGCAGATCTCACAAGTTTCATCAAAATCGATGTGCGAGGACTTGGTAACTTCCCTAGTTAGAGAAATTTAACCCTTCGTCTCAAGGGGGACTCTTAGGAAGAAAGTTAGAAAGGGACCAGATATTATTGTCATAACTATGACGTACGGTAACTATTAAAAAGATACGTGTAAAATCTAAATTTCTTTTACCGTAATTCATAATTTTATCAAACTGTCGAAGGGTTAACATGTTCCTTGGTTATCTTGGAAAACTAACTCTGAAGAATCTCTTGACCTTATTTAATTTTAGATGAATGCTTAGCATTCGACTGACAAGAAATCCCGAAGAAAAATTTAATTTCTCTTCTTTTAGGTATCACCGAAAATTCATTCTTCAATTTGTATCTTCCTCTTTCTTCTTTAATTCTGATGGTGGCTAAAGTGTTTCACGACGAAATCTTCCGGCATTTGCTTGCTCGTAACTAAAGTGCACGGTGTCACGAGTGGAGAAAAACGTCTCGAATTGTCTCTTCCTATTTCCTCGATTCCGTAGAGAAAGAATTGTAGGGTAAAGGAGGGTCGTTTAGTTTGGAATAATCACACGAAACACGACGAATCGTCGTGGTAGAGGCAAGGGTAGAGGAGGCGTACCGGGTATTTACGTTCAATTTCACTGAGTCTAATGTAACGAGGGCTGGTTGGCTCTCGAAGTGAGACGAATTCGATTGCTATGGCCGTGGCTGGAAAGAGAGGGCCGATCGAACGAGTCGTACGTGAATGTCGTACAGAGAGAAGAGCATAAAAATGAACCGCCTACCCGAGATTTATTTACCCGAGAGAAACTTACGGTCTTTATTCAATACATGACTCGTTGGAGAAAAGAATTCTACATTCAGAGCGATTGGAGAGCTCTAAAAAGTATATTAGGATAGGTTATGGTAATTCCAATTTTATCTATCTAGATAAAGTACTATGTGAATACTAAATATATTTTCATGCAATTTGTTTATGTTGAAAATTTTATCATATCTTAGAGGAAATTGAATATGGAATTTTAACACCAATCTATTAAAAGAAAAGTTCATTACTAAAGTTAGGACACTTTTACCGGAAATGATGAATCAAAATTTATTTAATATTTGAGATATTTAAGAATACTTTTCTAATTATGTCACACGTTCAGTAAGTAATTGGTTTAGGCTGAGTGATAGGACTGCACAGATCGTACTCAATCTCAGCAGTTAAAAGGGTGAAAATTGAACGATTACAGTAGCGTAGGGTCTTCGTTGGTTTTTCGAAGTCGAGCTATACATTTATCGTGTTCACTTTATTAAAGGATCTGTGACAGTCGGGAGAAAAAATTTCTCGATTGACATCTTTCCGGGCTTGTCTTTCGATAGTTCTACTTATATCGTCTCCAGAGGGTTAATCGCACAATTTTCTCCTTCACTTACCAAATATAAACAATAGTTTTCTAATACTCTTCCAAAAATACTAAAACTTACTCCGTAAACTTGTAATCTTTCATAAATAAAATATCGTACAAAATTATCGCTACTCGCACCAACTAAATACATTTAAAATTCAGTCTAATCGCGATTGAAGTGGATATTCTAGGAAGATGGGTAGAAAATATGGAGGGGCGTTGCACGTATCGGAATAGCATCGCGAGAAATCGGCGGCGTGAACGAGGTAAACTGCCGCGCCTAGGTGTGCATACGCATGTCACGATATGTACGTGGCCGGTGCATGCGTCCCTCCTTCACACTTGGCATACTTGATCGGGTTTATGCAGCAGGATGCACCGTAAACGCAAGCCAGGTCTCTCTCCCACAGTTCTACCTTCTCGATGAATGCACTGCTCGCTCGGTACTGTTCATATGTGTGAATGTGTGTGCGTGTGTATTTGTCTGCGTGACATTTCTGTGCGCGAGACTCGCCACACGTGGACGTGCCTTGAAAATTTTCTGCCAGCGCGAAAACCGCGCTCTCCTCGTGGCTACCGCCTAGCCTGTATTAAGGACTTCGGAGCTGGGAAACGCGAAGAACGTTCTGTCGTGTAACGGTGCCTCTTAAGTTCTTAGAAGAGTCTAGTTTTCGACTAGAATATTGCCAGATTGGACTTCTTAATGGGGCAGTTTACAAGCGTGACACTTTCTGTAAGTGAATTGAGAGATTTTTTAAACGGATCGTAAGACAATTTTGAGAAGACTCTTTCGAAAGAGATTGCGTTGAATGTGGAAATGGTAGATTAGGTTTGTAAGGTAATTGTGGAAGATTGGGGATTAAGGTAGGGTGTGTTTGACAGTCTATTTGGGATTTGGGTAAAGGTTGAGAAGGTTTTCATTTGGAAACATTGTGTTGCAGTGCTCAGTGTTTCAAAGTTTTCACAATATTCGTATTTTATCCTTCAAACCCTCGTTGATCGTCCATTTTCACAATACTCAGAGAATCTCACGCTGCAAACCCCAATTGTCCACTCGATTCCACGACACTCCTAATAACTCATCCGAGCACAAATTTGGCACGCAAGTTTTTTAAATTTTTATTTCAGAAAATAATTTAATATCTAAAAATATGTTTGCTTTAATCTTGGCTTCCACCCCGTCATCCGATCCCTGATTCTCACTTTCAAAAACCTTAATCAACGTAAAGAAAAAAATCAAGTATCCTCAAAAAACACGTTGTCAGAAAAAGCACACGTTCTCTCCCTGAATGCATACTCAAGGGAGATGTTTCACTCGAAGATCTAGGGAATCAGTAAGCGCAGTTCGAGGCGCATTTCCATGGCGTTCGAACACTTAGAAACGCGGCAGCGGTTTTCTCGTTCGTTGCAAAAGGTATCGGGGGCCCGCACGTGCGTGGCAGAAAGGGGCTAGGCGGGATAGATCGACGTCGCCGCGTCGATGCATTCCGCGCGCTTTCCACGCATTTCTCAGGGACCTTATGCACCCGCGCGCATTTGCTATTCCACGGGGGCCGGCGCCGTGAGCGGAATATATCGTTGCCGGTGTACCCGAGCGGGTCGAGAGACCAACTTCGCCCGGAGATTTCCACGCTGACTGAAAAACGAGCCTGCCCTAGCCTCGTACGCGACGCGTGGAATTTTATTCGCCGAAGAAGACACGCTCTACAAGTCAGAGACACTCTCTTCCGCGAGTCTCTTACGGAGAAATATCTACCCTTTTGCGTTACGTTTCACGGAATTTTCATTTTTCAGTGTACAGGGTGTCCCAGCTGAAAGAGGCCACTCACATATCGCCGTTCGTTTTAACGACACGAGAAGCGTTCGATGGACAGTTTAAATTTGTCCTTGATGGAGGAATCTGTTTTTCTTTTTCTTATTCTTTCTCAAGCTCACCGGTATGCTTTTACTGGAAAGCGTGTACTCTTTTCTATTACAACTTGCAGTGGAAGAAAATACCATCCTAACACTGCTTTAGAATTTGACCATTGTTGTGCTGTTCAAGGTCACCTGAAGGTCGTGTCTCAGGCATGCTCGTTTTTTGGCGGTTGAGTTAGGAGGATTCTGGAAGGGATAGCTTATAAGTGATTATATTTGAAATTTGGTCAGTTCAAATTTGGATTCGTTCTTCCGTGACAGATCCTACGATGGACTGTAATAGACAGTTACATATGTACGAGGAATTGTTGCTGGTTTCTGGTAATTGAGGCTGCAGAGGTTAAAGTGTCTCAGTAATGTGAATTCTGTAAGAGTTAGCATCGAAGAATTCCAAAGTAGAATCTGAAATAACGAGGGCAGAACGAAGCTGAAGAAACAGAATCGATACTTGACAAATAATTCTGTCTAAAAGCCCCAAATATCTTCCACAAAAAGAGACTAAAAATTTCGACACACATCTTCCCACTGAAAAATTGCAAATTAAAATCTGAAAGAGTAGAGGTAAGATAAAGCTGGAGGAAGGTCAAGATATCGCTGGGAAAGGAGGGGGGAGGAGGAGGAGGGGCGGGGGGACACGTGGAGACGTGATCCAGCATATCGTTCCGACGAATAGTTTGAGGTCAGCGTTGCTTTGGTCCCGAGCCATCGGGACGTAGTTTGTAAACTGGCGGAACTTTCCAGATCAACAGCTGCCACGAACCATCGATATACGAAACTTCTTCTTCTTCTTTCTCTACCCCTTAGGAATATGCTTTCTATAACCAGTTTATGAGAAAATGCGTTACTACGGTCGAACAAGAGATCTCTCCTTCACATGGACAAACAGTTCGCCAAGAGTTCGAACGACAGTTCACTTCTTGGATATCCTTCCTATTCTTCGCGAAACGTGGAAACTGTTCGAAGATGTTTATGCGTTATGAGAGCTCTAGTTCTATCGGTAATCGTTTTTGTGGTTGATCTGAGACGAATGGGGGACAGTGTGGTTAAGGAGTGAAAGATTTGTGTGATCTTGTATTTTTCAGGGTTGGTTGCACTTGTGAATTGGGAATTTTTCATTGTCGAAGAGATGAATATTTTAAGATTAAAAATTGGTTTTCTTTCACACGTGTAGGAATTAGAAATTGTAAATTTTGGAGAGCTCGTATTTCGGAAAAATTGGAAATAGAAAAAAATTTTCTGAAACCTGAAAGTCGCAGATTTTTGAGAATTTGGATTTGAAAAAACAATTAAGAATTGAATTTTCCGCAGAATTTTCAAATTGGGGATACGTTTGTCGGTTGCAGAACGAGAAGTTGGAGGTGAAACAGAAATGGGCCTCGCGGCTTCTAGGCAAGTTACGAAAGGATATCACGCAGGAGTACAGAGAGGACTTCGTACTGAGTATCACGGGGAAGAGGCCAGCCATGTGCGTTCTGAGCAATCCTGATCAGAAGGGTAAAATGCGTCGCATCGACTGCCTGCGTCAAGCTGATAAGGTATGTCTGACCAACACCTCGATCTAACTTACTCTACTGTACGATTTAACAATTAAGTCTTTGCACGGAATTTGTAAATTTATCACTGTTAGTTAAATTTGAGTGAAGTTAAGCTAATATTATATGTAAAAATAAAAAATAATTTACATTCAGTCTCAAGAAACTCCACACAAACAATTTTTATGATACGCTAATATTAACTTCTTCGTGAAAAGTTTACCAGAAAACAAAAAAAAATATCGTGTTTCCACACCGAAAGCAACAACTTCATTGTGGAATTGACGTAGAAAATCAGCTTGTGGAGCAAGGAAAATCAAAGTTTTGGTTTTGTGGTGCTTCTGGTGGCTCTAGTTCCAGTACCGAAGGCTCCAGCCCATAACCCATGGTACCTGTCGTTATGTTGCAGGTATGGAGGTTGGACCTGGTAATGGTGATCCTCTTCAAGGCAATTCCGTTGGAGTCGACGGACGGGGAACGGCTGGAGAAGACTGCGGAATGTGCTCAGCCGGGCCTCTGCGTCAACCCCTATCACATCAACGTCTCCGTCCGGGAACTCGATCTCTACCTCGCCAATTTTATCACCAGCCACGGTAAGGGATAACCACGTTCGATTAACCGTGGACCCTCTTTATTCGATGGGAATTACACCAGAGAAATTTATTTCCATGGAAATTTTCGTTTGAATTATGATAATATCGTTCATGAGATTCCTTCGAGCTTCTTCAGTTTTCTTCTTATTCGAGAGAAATTTATTTTTCTGGAAATTCTTATCTTCTTCTTTGGTTTCTTGGAGAATTTTGGAGATTTTCTTTTTCTTTTTTTTTTCAAGAAAAATTTATTTCCATGGAAACTCTGGTCTCGTTCCTTGCTTTGAAGTTTCTTGCAGAATGTTTGAGTTGTTATTTTCTTCTCGTTGAATTAATTAGAATAGATCAAAGTGGAGGAATAGTAGAAGGTGGTTTTGGAAAGTGAATGAGGTGGTTTAGATAGTAAGGAGTTTGACACTGTACCAGTTGGCCAGTGTTCATAGAATGGGCTCCAAGAATGTGGTATCATAGGATGTAGATAGCTATTAAGCCAGTCACCAAGAGAGTTTGCTGGTTAGTAATTCAGTTATGAGATAACTTATGCAGTTAATATATCAGTTTGCAGAAGGTGTGTTTAATTGTTTGTTTAATTTCTGACTAAAGTTTTTGTACACTAATTAGTATATAAAAGTAGACGTTAACATAGTTTCCAAATTAGTTTTTTAAGGATCCCTTTGGTTATTAATCAATTTATCGTATCGTTAATTCAATTGTTAAAGGACTTATCATGTGACTCAGCTAACTGCAAAAGTAACTGTGAAGTAAATCATCTAATAGTTTGTCTATTTACTATTGTACCACTACATTGGAATAGTTCATTCAATCACCAATTCACTTAATAGATGACCAATTTCAATATGAAAAAAATCTACCCGTTCAGAAATTTTATATCAAATTAGCTGCTAATTAAATCGTTAAGTAACCTCTTCATCCATAAAATACACTCTATACTTGTTATTCTATCCACCAAGCAGCCCATCGAATCACCGATACAATTAATAAGTAACTTGGCTACTCACCAACCCAATTACCAAAGCATCTATCTATTCATTTCTTTATTTATCAAATTACTAGTCGTTCACAGAACAAACTACTTATCTCCTAAGCAACTATCGATTAACCACTTCATTTACCAAACTACCAAACAAAATTACCAAATAGTCCCTTCAACCATCCATCTTTAAACCCATAAAATATTGCAACAATTTACTCATCTATTAACTAACCCAATCACCAGTGTATCCATCTCCTCACCAATTCATCCATCAAACAACTTACCCAACTACCGATCCACCTATCACCTAAATCACCAAAACAGTCCCCTTGAACCACCACTTCAACCACCAAACATCCTTCCCTACTCACCACTATACCGATCAAACGACCAAACTCATCCACCAAACAGTCTAACCCAATCACCACTCTTGTCACCGTGGCTTCTCCTCTTCCATCAGGAAGCATTGGCTCTCGTTGATCTCTCTCACAGAACCCAAAGAGAGCGTAACACAGAGAAAGAGACGATGTGTGTATGTGAAGCGGGTGGTGGCTCTGTGAATCGAGCGTGCCGCGTTCATTCACTCGCACATCCGTCCATTCAAAGTGTCCACTCGACTCGGCTTCGATTCAAAGTTTCTTGGAACGCTCTGCCAATTTCACCGCGATCCCCCCATGCAACATCGCTGATGTTCTCATGGCGCTCAGATTCTGTCACGTTCATTCTGAGCCAGTGCAGTTCTCCGCTGTTGTTGCCTCGTAAAAGGGGAGGGACAAAGACCCCGTAGGAAGTAGTAACCATTTGGATCTATAACGATTCGATTGGCAGACCTTCGCGAGAACGCTCCAAGGATCGAGATGTGCAAGAATAGTCGATGTTGGACGGTGGACAAGGCATTCGATCGTTTCGCGTTCCATGAGCCCGGATGAATTTAACACGTTGCTCGTGGATTCTAGAACGGATTCTACGATGAAGGTGTGAGATTCAAGGTGGAGGATTTTAGGGAGAGATGAATAGATGAAACGAATGTTTGGAGATTGGAAGGGTTGTAAGAAGAGGATGTGGAATATGGAGTTTTGTGGGGATGTATGGAGGTGTTTGGAAGTGAGGGAGCTTATGGAGAAGGTGAGACAGTGTGATTTTGGAGAATTTTGAAATTTTTGAAGGACTCTCAGTTTAGAAATTTGAAATATTCTGAAATTCGAAATTAGGGGATTTCTCGAAGCTTCTAAGTTGGAAATCTCAGGGAATCTTAAATTTTTGAGATCTCCAGAGCACCAAAATTCGAAATTTTCGGGGATCCAAAATTTTTTAATTTCATAGAGCACAGAAATTCAAAATCTCCGGGAATCCTTAAGTTTTTAATTTCCCAGAGCACAGAAATTCGAAACCCTCCGGAATCCAAAATTTTTGAGTTCCCCAAGGTTCAAAAATCCGAAATCCACCAGAATCCTAAATGTTAGAATTTCTAAAAGCTCTATAATTCAAAATCCCCCGAAATTCCAAAATATTGAGTTCCCCGGAGTACTAAAATTCCAAATCTCCTAGAATCCCAAATTGTTGAGTTACCCACAGTCCCTAAAACCGAAATCCACCGGACTTGCAGATTTCAGAATTTCTCAAAGCTCGAAAATTTTAAATCCTCTGAAATCCCAAATTTTCAAATTCCTCACAGCTCGAAAATTCGAAATCCCCCAAAGCTTCAAATTCGAAAACTCCAAAACTCCAATAAATCCTCTATCAAACCTGCAGCCTCTCCAAGAGTAATTCTCCACAACCAAAATCCACTCGACATCTTATTTCTTGAGATTTCCACATATTCCACCTTCAACTTCCGCAACAAACCTACCACCCCCTGAAAACGCGGAAACAGAAAGAATTGCAAGATGCCAGTATGCACACGTGGCTCATGATCGACGCGGTTCCAATCGATCAGTTGCCAGGAGTTGGACTGGCGCGCGTCCGTGGCTCTCGTCTTCTTTCATTCGGTTTCATCGAACTCACTGACTCAGTTGGGAAACACGTAATTTCCGTACGTACGCTCCTTTGGCTCTCCTCTCCGTTTCTCCTCGCAACCTGCGAATCACACACCGTGCTCGCGCGCACACACAAACACAAAGGCACACACACGCTTTGGCAGCCGGCTTTCTAATGTTTACAGCCGCGGTTGACGCAAAAATTGGCCAGGCCTACCGTGTCTGCTGCACGCCACCACCTACGAGAAAGAGAAAAAAACGCACAGCTGCCAAGACATGGGGTAGGTTAGGACACTCTCCAGACCGTACGACGCCTCCTCTTACTATCGCTTCCTTCTTCAGCTTTGATAATAGCTGTTCTGAAATTGTGATGCTTCACTTTGGAATTGTGGTCCTCGTTTTGAAACTATGATTTTCCTTTTGGAATTTTAGCGTTAATTCTGAAATTCTGGCGTTCAATTTGAAATTCCTTGTTCGACCTTTGAAATTGTGTCCTTAAGTTTCGAATTGCAATCCTAATTTCGAGACTGTGGTCTTAAATTTGGTATCTGTTGTCTTATCTTTGAAATTGCAGTCTTCATTTTGGAACTGCGGTCGTAAATTTGGAAACTTAGTGGTCTTAAATCCGGAATATTTTGTCTTATCTGTAAAATTATGGCCTTAAATTTGATGAAATATTTTTTAAACATTGTTTCATTATTGCAAAGCAGAGACATGTTAAAATATTTTCGAAATATGACATACACATCATTGAAATATTATATGAAACATTATATATGGTGGTCGGTCTCATTTTCATTGACAGTTTGCAAGCAGAAAAGTCTCTGTTAACTGAGCTAGCCTTACTATTTCAGAGAGAATATAATATAGAACGCTTGATTCTGGGTCACGTGTTCTATTAATGAGATCGGTATGTCCGATGCTAGTTCTGAACTTAATATTTCTATCTATATGTATAACTTTTTCAGAATCTCCATCTGCAACCGCATCCATAAATTTCTATACAGTCGTATAAGATCTACTTAAGTACTTATTATACGAGTCTTCTTCAGCGTTTTATTATAACACCCAGAAATCTGAATTCGCGAGAAAAATGGTAGCATGATTCACGTAGCAATTTCAATGAAAAAGCTTTTTCAATTATCGCGATTGGAAGCAGAAGCTCGAAAACGTGACCCGTTTGCCACTGAAAAAAAGAAAAGAAAGAAAAAAGGAACGTTTTTTGAAAGTGTCTTTTTTTTTAGTAGTTACTCGTTTGTATTATCAAAGTTTCGAGACCAATTCGTTCAGAGAGATCAATTTAACCGGCATCGTTATTTATTCCAAAAGAGCTTTGCTAACTTCTCAACCCAATTAATGCTCAACCTCGTTTCCAGCCGGTATTCGCGTTAAACGTAAAGATTCTCTCGTTTCGAGGTACTATATTTCAAAGTTTCTCTACTTTCGACTTCCTCCATCAATTCTGAAAGAATTCATAGCGAACTTTTTTACTCTAGATGGCCCACTTTTGTTTCTTCAAGGTCTTTAATGTATCCTTGTCTCATAAATCTCTATCTGCGTTCCAAGAATCTGCATTAAGCCAGCGATATTCGTAATTTGCAGTTGAATTGTTCGAAAATATCCCCGATTTTATCTCCCATTGAACAGATCAGGTTTCCTGTATGCCAAAAATTTGCATCCAATCTCTCGAAAGAATTAGGTTTCGGTGTTCTGCAAAGAATCATTCATTACTGCCACAAAATATTAAAAATATTCGTAATTTTGGGATTTCCCCCATTTCAAAATTTCCTAAAAATTTTCAAAATCTTTTTAATTTTACTCCCTCAAAAAATTTAAATTTCCTCCAAAATCTTCAAAATTGTACTCCCTGAAAAAGATTAATTTCCCAAATTTCAAAGTTCTACATACACTCAACACTCAACATCTCTAGAAAACAAACCTTATCACTCACTCTTACAAAATCTCCACTTTACTCTAAAAAAATTTCACCTTATTCTCAGTTAAAAAAGAAAAGTTAGCAATTAATCAAAAAG